TGTGCTTTACCAAACTACAGCCACCAACAACATCAAAGTAAGAGTGTAACTACCAATGATGAGAAGCTTGTACAATAGTAGTGATGGAGTTGAGTGTCAGTGCTAACTACACACTTCTATTGGCTGTAATTCAGCATAAAGAAAGAAAATCTGTTGGTTTTGAAGTCCTAATCTTGGCTCTGAAGGTTTTTCTGACCCAAATATGACTCTATTTGTATGAGACAGTGGACTGCTAAGCTATGAGCTCACACTTGCATGCTTGGTTAGGAAACCGCATCATTAAACTGTACAGGTGCACTGCACATCCACAGGTACCTGCTAGTTAGTGCCAACTAACAGATTTAACATGCGAGCATTTTACTCATCAAAACTGAAGCATGGGTTGCTCCAAAAGACACCGAATGGTGAGAGGTCCAGTTCAGTGACCCCCAATTGGCATTTCTGAGGCTTATCAGCCAGCCATCATCTGTTGCTATCAAAGTTACCATGGGATGGGTGTAACATATAACAAAACTATACCCACTGCACAGGTGATATAAAGGGGTAAGTTATCTCTAGAGATCAATGCCATATTTGTTTAGCACCAGGGTGTAAACATGTTTAATTCTGCTGTAAAGCTGGGCATTTTAACATGGGAGTCTATGGGGACTGAATCATATTTGAAGGCAGCCTCAAGTGGCCACTAGAGGAACTGCAACTTTAATTATTTTACACACGATTTATGTGATGTTTGGAGTAACCGTTTCATGATTCGTAGAATAAAAATATTTGCAAAAAGTGCTGTTTCATAGAGATGAATAAAGAAAACTGGAGGCTGAAGGAAAAACATATAAAATGAAGGCTGGGGTGATCAGTCCCTTTAAAGTGTGACAGCAGTTAGTATCGAGATAATCAGTGCTTCCACTGAAGTTAGTGTCTCCCTTCCCTCTCGACTTCCTCTGCCCTGATGTGTGCATAATGAATATGTGTCAAAAAGGTTTTATTACTGTACTTGTTGGTAACATCTTACATCGCTAACGCTTTAAAAGATGAATGAAAGCGTGTCTGCATTACTTTGTATTTAGCTCATCAGAGTGAAAGTGTGGAGGACGATGCTGTAATCAACAAAACCAAAAAAGCCTTCTTCTCTGTAAACTAACTCCTTGTCATCATCTGTTCTCATGGTTGTTGGTGTTGTATAATCCAACCCTTTAAATACGAACTTTAACCACCACGCCCGTCGTCCTGTAAGCGCCGCTGTGTTTGGCAGCACCCGCGAATGAATTTCTCTACTTTTTTGGGGGGTTTCTGTCACCTTTGGGGAGTCCTCCATCTCACTGTATGGAGACTGAATGTCAAGAATGGGCGGATATGTAGGGTTTTTATAGCATTCCCGAGTTTTACCAGGGGGAGCACGGTCACAAATTTAAAACCCTCTCGGTCGTTGAGCCTGCCTCGTGTAGGAAAAGCAGCGGAGCGCCCAAACCTGCGGGGGCTCCAATGCTCATGCTTCCAAAAGTTTGATGCCAGTCCAGGCAGGCTCATAAATCACATGTTAGAGGCAGTTTGTGGGAAAACACCCAAGGATTACGAGTCCAACGCGGAGGCAGGAAGGTATAGAAACATGTGTGGGTCAGTGTTAAGGTCACAGCCAAAGTGAGGCTGCGTGACCTGGTTTGAAATCCCTTCAGGAAGAGAAAGGAAGCTTCCTCCAAATATCATTATGTACCGGGACCAAGTCTGTAGACAACATTTTAACGAAAACTGTTGTTATTGATGTTCTTTGTTTTATTTTATTTTTTTTTACTGGTGCTGACATATATGTGATTATGAGAAAAAAAAACTATATAAAAGATAATGGCTATTTGTAAATATGTTTTTACAGGTTTAAATACATCAGATAATACAGTCTCTACTCTGTAAAGAATTTACTGTTTGTTGGAAAATAGAGAAGTATTTTTATTTTGAAGTTTTTTGGTTTCACTTTTAACCCATCTGAGCTATGCCATTGCACTTCAGACAATGTCTTACTACTAATTTGTATTGTAAACCTCCTCTCTTTTTTGGTATTTTTTTCAGTTGTTTTTTCTAGTTTGAGATTTGACTCGGTTCTTAAGCAGTGCTTATTTCTTTTTATCCTGTACAGAATTCTGAAAATGTTAACAAAAGATAATTACAAGAGACTTTTTTTTTGTTTGTTTTTTCAAAAAGATAAAATAAAGAGAGACTATTCTCGCTGATCATATTACATGAAAGCTTCTGTTTACACCTGGTTCATTTACATCATTTACACAGCAGCTGTCAACACGTGAAACGTGCACTCACTGGACACTGTTAGGTACACCTGGTTAGTAATGGGATGGACCCACTTTTTTACCTTAGTTCTTAATTGCATTGATTTAACAAGGTGCTGGACAACTTCCTCCGAGGTTTTTGTCCATATTGATATGATGGCGTCTGCAAGCACATCCGTGAGGTTTCTGAACGTCAGCGGGTCGCCTTGACCGTGTTACTATTAGCGTTAACGAGCAGTTGAACAGGTGGCTGGTGAGTGTTTATAAACATTTACTTGGAATTCACTCAGTATTGCTCCAATCACATCCAGACTGACCCATTAGGCTAAATTAACTGAACATAAAGGCTCAACTAAACTTTGGGCAACTTTTAGAATCACGTTATCTGAATACAGCTTCACTCTCAGACTGCAGAGATACATACCATCTCTACTTTTAAGGTTAGTCTTCAAACTTGTAGCCTAACCTTGATGGCATGATAAAGTAACCCTGAACCATCCTTTATTTATGCTGCTTTGGCCTCAGGCTCCTGTGAGATTTACCATCATTCACCGAGTCATCCCCATGCATTTATATGCCAGTATTTCTTTGCCATAATTTTGTCTGCTCTCCCTATAGTTGGTGTATGGGTACACTCATATACTCATCTTTTCTGTTGTCTCCTCTCTCTCACCTCCACAGCAGTGGGAGCTGATTGGAGAACAAGCCTGGTTCTGCTGAGGTCTCTTCCTGTTAAAAAGGAGTTCTTCATTCCCACCTTTTGCCATGACTCACTCATAGGGAACTTTGTGATCATTGGGATTCTCTTTGTAGCATTGTATGGCAAGTTTATATTGTAAGCTTTACCTTGCAATATAAAACGCTTGTGCTTGTTATAGATGCAAAATAATACATGTTCATGCTTTAAAAGATGATAGGAGGTGGTTGGATCGGCTGCACCTATTCCCAAAATTC